TGATAAATAACTGATTAAACAGACTAAACAGACCAGATGGCAATAGATTCAAATTAAGGGAAGATAAGCTTCACAAGTATTAAATGGACATGGTAGTTTTCTTTTCACTGCTGCCAAAATCATGACAGCTACTTCCCTAGGTGAAAGTGCAAGCATATCCCCTTAGCTTGTGTTTTCCAGTGACTCTTTAAAATCAAAGCCCACGCAGGCAGTAAGGTGGATTTAAAACTGACTGAACTGCTGGGCTTAGAGGGTTGTGATCAGCAGCACAAAGGCAACCTGGAGGCTAGTTACTATTTGGAGTACCCTTAGAGTGCTGGGCTAATGCTGTTTAACCTCTCTATTAATGATCTGAAGGTTGTGGGATGGAGTGCACTCTCAGCAAGTTTGCAGATACCAGATTAGACGGAGCATTTCATACACCAGGTGCTTGTGCTGCAATACTTTTGCAGGTTGGTGAAATGAACAGAGGAACCTCATGAAGTTCAGCGAAGGGAAATGCAAAGCCCTGTACTTTAGAATAACCAGTACAGAGTGGATAGAGGCTTCCTGGCTGTAAAGCAGCTCTGCAGAGCAGGATCTTGGGGTCCTGACATACAAATTGACCACAAGCCAGCACTGCACTCTCACAGCAAGGCCAACAGCATCCTGGGCTGCATAGACTAATGTGGTCAGCAGGTCAATAGAGGTGATTCTTCCCTTCTACTCAGCTCTGTGTAAAGTTCTGAGCTCACTGATATAGGAAAGACCTAGGCATCATGGAGCTAGTCCAGTGAAGGGCCCCCATGACGATTAAGGGACTCGAGCACCTGACATACAAGAAAAGGCTGAGAGAACTTCGGCTGCATAGCCCAGAACAGAGAAAGCTCATGGGGGGTATCAGTAATGTCTGCATATATCTGATGGGAAGGAATGAAAATGATGGAGCCAGACTCCTCTCAGAGAGTCTCACTGTCAGTCTCAGTGGTGGCCGGTGACAAGACAAGGTAAGAGCACAAACTGAAATGCAAGAAATTCTGTTTACATGTAAGAAATATCATTTTTGCTGTGAGTGTGGTCAGACACTGAAACAGGCTCCCCAGAGAGCTTGTGGAATCTCTTTCTTTGGGGATATTCAAAACCTGAGTGGACATGCTCCTGAGCAGGCTGCTTTAGCTGTCCATGCTTCGACCTAGGGAATTGGAATAGACAATCTCTAGAGTCCCCTGCCAATCTCCCCTGTTCTGTGATTTTCTCCATCCATGAAAGAGAAATTATCTTTCCCTTTTATGAATCAGAGACAAACCATTGAGATTTTTAAGACAAAATATGACTACTCTATCCCACCTGACAAACTTACACTGTTTTTCCATCGCTTGAATTGTTTTGAGCCCACAGAGTCTTGTCTTTCATTAACCCATTCTTTCCTTGCCTCTGGTGTGTTGCTACTGTTCACCTACACACTCTGTTCTTACCATTCTAGTTCCTTATCAAGTCCTTGGAAGAACATTCCAGTAAAATCCTAAGGTCTGTCTCCATTGCTACCATTTAAAACAGCTTCCTTACCTTGACTTTCATCTAAGAGTTCACCACTCTCCTTGTAACGTGCTCTTCACCCTTAGCTCCAACATTGAATTTGTATGGCAAAACCCCCCAGATCCATGTAGTTGCTACTTGCTGTAGTTGTAATTTGAATAGGGAATAAGTCAAAAGATAATGGAGTAATGGTGAGGTTAGTATTAAAGTTATTTTGCTTCCTCTTCACTGTCCTTCTGTTTAGGTGTTATGTAGCCTTTGAACTACATCATGAGAGAATCATCATTATTGCTTTAGAAATCTCACAATGCTCTATGCCAATTTAATATTAGCCAGTTAATCTCTATAATACTATCTTTGGAAACTAAGAAAAATGTAAAAGCTAAGGCAAAAAATTGTAGCTGCCTATTTATTATCATGATGACTGATGCAGTGGAAACCAAGATGTCTTTATGCTTTCATTCAAAAAATAACTTCCCCAGGCAAATGAAACGCTAAAATTGGCAATGCTGACTTAATCTCTCAAATCTGGCGTATAGGTCTGTACTTCCAGTAAGCCTGGTGCTAGCCAGCAGATTTTACTTCTGTTTTAAAACCAGATGCATTGTAATTATGTTCTCCCTAGATTTTCTCTTAATTAATTGGAAATATCGAAAGAGTTAATTAAAAATACAAACCTTATTTGATTCTATATCAAACCTGACATTATGATCTTTTTATCTACAAGGCAAGAATTATGTGGGATCAGAAGTCTGAATTATTCATGATAGTTTCTAGCCATTTTTTCCCTCCTCCTTTATTCAGTGTAAAATCTTATAAGCTTTTCTTTCAGTCAAGGTGAAAGCAATATTAAGTCTTGGAAAAGAAACGTACCAAAGACATGTAGCTCTGTAAAATCCTTGTCCTGTAATCCTGGCTTTCTGTTCACCATCACTATTCAATATAACACTTTCTGTATAAGCTTCATGATGTATCAGCAGTTGATGAGATTTATTTGTTATACTCCTGTTTTTCTTCTCCATAAAAAAACTTTATCCATCACTTCTCTAGGAGTAACACTGATGTCTGTGATTGTGTCTGCTGGGCTGCTAATTCAGCAGCTCCATTCAGGATATTGGACAGTTGGTAGAGGGTGGACAGTGAGGGAGGAGGAAAGCTGTACTTGTTAAAATTTAGGACAGCATGTGTAGTGAATTTTAATAACGTTAAGATCCAGTTAAATACTTATGAACTAACATGGTTGATTTTGTGAGTAGAAATACTGACATCACTTCTGAAAGATGCTTTATGAATTAAAGCTTGACTACAGTACATTGAACCTCTGTAAGGGGCTAAACAGAATTATTTCTGGTCATTTTGGAGACATGACAACAGATGAGATGGAAGTTGGGTCTGATCTATACTAATGAGTCCTGCACTTCCTGTTTGCAGTATTGCTCCTGATGGCTGTAGCAACTCCATCTATGTTTTTCTTACAGGCTCTGACTTCATCTGTCATGGTATTCTTCCTCTTAAACAAATAAATTTCTATAAGGTTGAAAGGGCAAAGAGTATTGTTTTTAAATTCTTTGTCTCTAACCTTTTAAAAGTAGATCACTGCCTTTAAGGTGAAATTAGAATGTATAGAGAATTCAGTATGCAAATAGCATGTGTACCAGATGATCTGAAGGAAGCCTGCACATTTCCATAGAAAACAAATGTGAGTATAGGAAAGCAGATGCTTTCTACCAACAGAGTGTACATACAGTTCTCAAGAGGACCTGAACAGCAATTTCTTTTCAGACTGCTGGAAGTATGCAAATTTCTGCAGAATTAAATGTGAATTTAAAAGAAATGGCATCTGTTAAGGACAAGACAACCCAAAGAGGCAGTTGGGAACTAAATAATATAATCAAGATCTTTAACAGGCTCAGCAGTATGTATAAAATCAATGACTCAAGTGTCACCTGTTTTTAGCAAAGACGTAAGTGGTCATGTTGAAAAGATGTCTCTAAAGAGCATGGCATTTGGAGTGTTTATCTGTGACTGTGAAGAAGGACATTAGTATGGTGTGGGGTTGTTTTTTTCAGATGATTCTCCATCAAAAAGCATCATCTGTTCAATTGAGCTGCTCATAGGAAATAGTCAGTGATGCACTTGTATCACCAGCATTATTTTTGCTATTTTTGACTGCTAGTTTAGCCCAGTAAGTCTAAGTATATTTGATTCTGTCTTGACACATGCGTAATCACCACAATTATTGATTTAAATTCTTACTGCTGGACATCTTTCGAGCTGATGGCTGTGGGACTGGATGGATATTACTGAGATTATTGTCTGAAGGCAAGGGAATAGTGCTAAATGCAGTAGTATAATTTTGCACAAGGGGTATTGCTGGTTAGCCAGCAGCCAGCTGCATAGGCATGGGAAGTGTGGGTTTTTTCTCCTTTCTGGTAAAGCACACCATTACTGGAGTGGGGGCAAACACACAGGATGGCAGAATTCAGGTTTGCCAGGTGGTTCTGCCTCCACTCTTCCCTGTTCCCCTCAAAGAATCCAGCTGCTTAGTTCATTCTGCTGCTTTGTTGTATCTTAAAGATTCCATTTAATCACTTCATTTTTACAGAAGTGCCCAAATGAAGGCAAGGAGGGCAGGAGATGTTGATTTAGGAGAATGCGCAAGAATACACTTAGTAAAAATGTTGATGAAACCTGTAAGGTCAGATGTGTCTGTCTAGATGTTCTGGAAGCAACACATTTTCAGGCCTTTTGAAAGCTGTCAAAAGGCAATAAAGGTCACTGCTTATAATTTTAGGAATTTAAATTCAAGCATTCATGTATGACAAGGCTTGACCAGGGTTCTCATGGCAGGAAACCCCCTGTATGACCTGGAGCCTACCGAGCCCCACTGTAGTGGTGCACTTTCATAAACACAGTGGGTGTCTGGGCTGTCACCCGCCTCTCCTCTCATACACTCCACAAACAAGGAGCAAAGTAAACGGGGGTACTGAGCGGGTAGGTATAGTGTTATAGAATCATAGAATAGTTAGGGTTGGAAAGGACCTTATGATCATCCAGTTCCAACCCCCCCTGCTATGGGCAGGGACACCTCACACTAAACCATGTCATCCAAGGCTCTGTCCAACCTGGCCTTGAACACTGCCAGGAATGGAGCATTCACAACTTATTTCAGAGCAGAAATACTTGAACTGATAACTAAAAGTAACCTAGTCAGCAGGGGAGACACTGCCATTGCAAGGGTGAGTTTGCCAGGTAAGCTCATCTCCACAAGCAGAGTCTTCTCAGCATTGTGGGCTATTCTTCGTTATACTCTGCCCATGTGTTTTAAAAACATCGTGTCTGTAAAGCCACAGATCTGTTACTCTTGTGCAGCCCATGGATTGGGCATAGAGGATTATCAAAATACGTATTCTCTGGCTGTTTTTCACTACTTAAGAATTTGTTTCTTACAACTGAATAATTTGTAATTTTTTTTCTTCACACAGGTCGTAATCCTCGGCAAACATTCTAGAGGCTATCACTACATGTTAGCTAACCTGGTAAGAGCTTCTCTTCATTACAAGCATAGCTAAATTTTAAAGGGTAATGTATTCTGTTCAGGTTGTGGCAACTTGAATCAGCAAATTAGGAAATGCATAGGTGAGTTCTTGGTTTTTGAGAAATTACTTCAGTAAATACTAGAACTGGTAGGTTATAGTAATTTGTACCCCATTATGGCCTTTCTTTTGTCTAAGAATCTCATATCATCTACTAATTTTAAAACAATAATTTAATTATATGTTTTCCACTGATTCGTATCCTCATGACCAACACTTGATAAATCAAATCATCTATGTAACGTACTTGAAATTTCAGCACTCCACAAAAAATAACTGTAGCATATTTGTGTATAAACTAAGTGATTAAAAGCTGCAAATTAGAACAGTTCCATCAAGTAAACCAGGCAGGTTGTTTAGCTGTTTTGTATTTCAAATAGGGTTTGTAGGGTTATGCCTGTGCATGTGTTGACCTACCAGCACAAGACAGTACATTTTTGTCTGTATTAGAGCTTCTTCTGGATTCTGGAATTGACTTTTAGAGATGTTTATGATGTCTTTGAAACTCCATCTGCTAGAGTTCCGTAGAAAAAGTGTTGTATTGAAATTGATCCTGCAGCAAGTCTAATTCTTGGGTTCTGTGTGAGTGGAAAAATGTTCCTCCAAAATTCTCACTTTCAAGTTAGCAGTCCCATTTGCTAGCAGATTCTCTGTATCCATGTTTTGGTGTGATTAAAGCAGAAAAGACAATTTTTAAAATAGCCTTATTTATGTGACTTTAAGATGTATCATTTTGACTGTATGACTTTAAGATGTGTCATTTTGCATTATAAGAACCAGTCATGATCTTACTGATAAGTGTATGCATAGAAATACAGGGGTTCTTATTCTAGGCTGCCTTTTAGCATGTGTAACCATTGACGTTCAGATAAACATGACTGCAATCAAGTCATACTAATCAAAAAGACACCAATTTACTGCTTCAGGTATAAATAACAACAGAGTGGGAGAGAATCATCCCGTTATATTTGCAAGTAAAATGCTAAGTAATGCTGTGATGGAGAGCTGCCTCACCAGAGGCATGTGCTTTGCCTCCACAGAACAGTATGGGTGTTGAGTGCTATTCTGCTCCAAGCACTGAATCTTCATGTGCGCTTTGCTGTACCAAAGGGATTGAGGTCTTGGACCAGTTTCCACCATGATGAGAAGAGTGGAAATAGTACTTCAAGTTTTTCCACTTTTTTCTTTCTGACCAGTGCATATTATGTACAGCATTGCCACCACACAACAGGGCAGTTTTCTGTTACTAAGGTCTGAACAATTTGACATTTAAAATTCTATTCTACGCCACTATCACACTCCCAATTATGATAATAATTGTCTCCTTGGTAGAATATTTTCAGCTAGCAAGAGGGAAATTAATGTTTCTTTTGTGCTACTCTTGTAGCAGTTAAAATTGAGCCTAGGAAAAGGGGATTGGGATGACAATGATTCTTGTTTTCTACATGTGTCCTCCCAGGGTTTCACAGACATTGTTCTGGAGAGAGTAATGCATGGAGGTGCCAACGTTACTGGATTCCAGATTGTTAATAATGAAAACCCGATAGTTCAACAGTTTTTACAACGCTGGGTGAGGCTTGACGAAAGGGAATTCCCTGAAGCCAAAAACTCACCATTAAAGGTATTTCTTTTACCCTGACAGTGATGATGATGATTATACAAGTTGCTTTTAACAATTATTTGGAGTTTTTTAACCCCAGATGCATGCATGTGTATGTTACAGACACTTCATTAGAATACGTTGCAACATTCACTGTACTTACAGAAGAGAGAAAGAGGCAGAGGCTGTTAGCTGGACATGAGTGCCCAGCGTGGTGGGATTTCCTCAGGGGCAAAGGCTTGGTCTTGCAAATCCTGTTGTTGTGTAGTGGATGTAAAAACTTTTAACTTGAATGTCTTAAGTTAGTCTTGGGGGGTGGGGACTAGCTAGGTTACCTTCTGGGTGCAAACTGTGGGTTACTAGTCCATTTTAATGCTAAAAGAGAATTTGATGTGCAAAATGAAGTAGCTTTGGATTCACTGAGAAGCTGCTGCCACCTCCTAGGCACTGCTGACAGTTGCCCTCATAATCTAACCCCATATTTTACACTACTGTCCCTTACTTAAACACTCTTGATATTTTATCTCAAACCAATATAATTGTCCTGATTTTTTTGAATGAAAGTCACAAGTTCACAAAAACTGTTACACTGGGTGAAGGCTACTGTTATTGGGAGACCTGTTAATATCTCTCCCAGGTATTTTTCTGCCTAAACATCTCTATAGTAGAGGGGGACACTATTCACTGTCAAATTAAGACATAAATCAAGGATACTCTTCCAGTGATGGAAATCATTAAATCTTCTAGGACCACTGCATATTAATATTTCTATTACATTCCTTCTTTCTCTTTTGGTGAGGCCTGTTCTTTTTCACCAATATGCATAGGTGAATAGAACCTGGGGCTGGTGGTGGATGAGAGGACCTTGAATTCTGTCACTCTTAGAAGTCCAGTTCTCCACATCATGTATATTAACTGTCTCAGGGAAGCCAAACCTATCAAAAACCACAGCTGTGATGAGACAATTCATGTCCTTCCTTCTTGATTTGGGAAGGACTCGTGGAAACTGATGAATGGATTTGGAATTCAAAATTACTCTGATTAACTGTAGTAATGTCTTGATATTAGTGAGATAAAGTTCAGGGAAGCATAAAATGCTAGCTACGAAGGAAGAGTCTAGTCCAGTCTGGTGCATGGTGGGGGGGGATACCAGGGATAGGTGATAGCACTGTGTTGGACTACAGATGGAATAGGACCTGGTTATGCGGTTCTGCTGCCAGAGGCCGATGCCATTCAGAGGCATACATTTCCATTCCCTGAGAGCAAGTGATTTCTTTGGGGGAGGACAATTATCTTAATCAGACACCATCCCACAGCCTTGCTGGCATTTCAGAGGAAGCAGAGAAAAGCAAACAGAGGCCCACAGTGCTTGGATTAGTGTATTGTTCCCTGTTGATTAGGACCTAAGCCTGCTTTCTAAAGCTTTCTAGCAGTGATGCAAAAGTGAAGATAAGTATCATACTGATCTTAAAAGCTCTGAAATATATAAAGTTAGCCTAGGAAAAATTTATTCCACTTAAAAGCAATTTACCTTGAGGGAAAAATTATTTTCCACCCTTAAAAAACAATCTTAAGTATATGGTACAAACACAAAGATTACATTGTTTCCACAAATGTACCACTCATTACAGAAACGTGCACAGTATTTGTCAATCAGACAAAAAGCATATTTAAAAATTGATGTACAATATTTTTGATTAGGAAATAAAATTGCCTAGAGATTAAAGCCCTGATGTTTAATTTATTCTGTATTTTATCAGCCTTTCCCTTCTCTCTCTCTTTCTTCTCTTTGCATGCTCATGCATTTATAAGTAGAATTCAAATAAAGTACAAAATTAGATAGCTCTCTTGGCATGACTTGGAAGGGACTGCATTAAGGTTACTGACAATTGATGCAGTCTACTGAAAAAATTATCAGCATGTAAGTTTTATGTAGTTCTAGATTGGACAGCTATTACAAGATTTTTCTAATACAAGAACAAATACCTTAAAATTATGGCTTGATTCTATATTGTGTGGAATCTGACATATAACCTTTGTTAACTTACTAAAAGAGGGGAGGATGATCATTGCAAAGCACCACAGAAAGAGGTAAAGATGGGCAGGATCTAAAGAGTGCCTGTGCTTAAGTACAGTCAGAGCAGGGTGATACAGTCAGAGAAGGATCCAAACTCAGTAACTGCTGTAATTTAAAACTATGTAAGAATGTCTGCTGTAAAACCTTCTTCACAGTCCTACCTTTGCACTCCTTTTTTATCAGATACGATTCTGTAGATCTGTGCATGCAGACACACCTCATTCTGTGCAGATTTCCTACGGCAAGAGTTTGCAATAAGATAATACACATTGTAAAGAAATACAGAACACCAGTTGTACTATCCTGCTCTACAGGATAGCATTAACTTCTGCTGAATTTGATAAGTCTTATCCACAAAGAGAATAGCTGAACATGCAGTTGAAACTTGGATTTCTGCCTTTCTAATTCACGCAGTATCTTCTGGCACTAACTCCAGCATCAGGTTCATCAGGAGCCAGGAGCATTACAGTATCAAAGAGACAGCCAAGAGAAAGGAAGGCGCACCAGCACATGCAGATACCCCTTATATTCTTTTTTTTTCTCTGCATTCTCTTACAAACGCTGTGGTAATACAGAAGGGGGTTTGAAATCTGGTCTTACACACTGAGCACATTCAATTGCTCTCAGTATGTATGTGTTGAAATGGTATCCTGGTGTGCTGTAATGCCAGTGAAAACCAAAGATGTCATATGCAGAGCCTGGTCCACTGTACGCAGAAAGAACTTTCAGCAAACACATAAATGTGGAGAAAAACCCACCTCCATGTCTCTTCATAGGTGATAGTAAATTTATACCATTGGGAGGTGTCTCTAGACACATACAACAAGCAATGGCTGAAGTTGACAGTAACATGAACATGTAGTTAAGGAGTCTGAGGGGTTCTGTTGAAGAGTTGCTGCTACACAAACCTTATCACCCTCCTCAGATTTACAGTGGAGTAAGAGAAGGCAGATGGGGAATTCCCAAGGGGATGTAATGCCTAAAGTGTGGTTTGTGATTACCTGCTTGTATAGCTGTCTTCTGAGGAAAGTAATCTGATGCATTCTTTCCCACAGATGCTACCTGATCAGGACTGTGGTCCAAACAGAAATGATTTCTGATAACTTCAATTCAAAACTCTCTTGGCAGTCTTGTTAAAAAAATGTTCCAAACAAAAAACAGTATGAGCTCTTCTTTGCTCTTGGTAGCAGTATGGGCCAGCATAGAATTGCAGACTTTTGTAGTGATGTCACTTAGATGAACTTGCTTCCAATTAAATTTAAATTTGCTGCAACTATAAACTGGCTATGTTATTTTGCTGCTATATGCTATACAAAATGAAAGTATTTTTTGCTTTGTTGATTGAAATAGATGGAGTTGTTAAGCTACATAAAATACCTGTGGCAAGACAGAGAGCAAGAAAAAGGGCTTGCAAGTATGTTTCCTCTAAGAGTATTTTAACAAAGAGAAGGACTAGGCCTGATAAACCTGGGCAGTACTAAGACTGCAGTTTGTGACCATATTTTATTTGCATCAATTTTAGTATACATCTGCACTGACCCATGATGCAGTCCTAGTCATAGCAGAGGCTTTCCGTTATCTCCGAAGACAACGTGTGGATGTCTCCAGGAGAGGTAGCGCTGGAGACTGCCTGGCTAACCCTGCAGTACCGTGGAGCCAAGGAATTGACATAGAAAGAGCACTGAAAATGGTAAGGGCAAACACACCAGTATATATTCCACAACAGCAGCAATTCTGCTGGGACCGAACTGCATCCTTCTCCGTGTACTCATACAAACAGCTGCAGCTCCTCAGGAAAAAGAAGACAGAAAGAAAAAAACTTAATGACAAAGGATGTATAAAATACACTCAAAAACAAGTTAGATCTCAAAACTCTGGCCAAAATCACATCCCTCTGGCACCAGTGTAGCATTTGCCTGATTGCCCACACCAGGGCACCTACAGTGTGACTCCCCCGTAAAATCCAAGCTTCCCATGAGAGTGAGCACAAGCCATTTTGCAAACAAACATGTATTAAGGGTTTCTTAAAGTCCGTCTGAGCCTGCAAATCTGACTAACAGAACTAGACTGGGATACGTGTATTTATGGACTTAAACACATGTATGCAGTGTTGATAATTAGGTAGTGGAAAGTCAACTCAGATTGGTCTACAGCAGTGGAAAAAATGTTGTTGGTCATAGCAATACTGCTGGCTTTCAGCACCAGGCTGAACCTTGACACAGTTTAGCCTCAAACCAGTTCTGTTTCCTGGCATAACTTTGCACTCAGCCTGATTACCTTCTGCATGACCTATTTTTATCCCTAACGCTAGTTATTGCATGGGATCCTACCTCACTTATGTCTCTGATTTTGTTGGTTTTTAACTCTTCTGAGACTGCTATGTGTGTTAAAGCAAGTGACAACAGGAAAAATTAGATAACATTTCTGTAGATATAAGAGACGAGAATATGTTCTGCTTTTGATCTGGCTCAAATACCTCTAAAAGAAACCTGTTAGAATAGATTGTATTAATGCAAGCATAGAACTGCAGTGAGTTACATCAGAATTAAGGCCATGTTAGGTATAAACAAATCCTAGGTCAGCCTTCAAACACTTAGCTTACTTACTGCTTCTTCTCAATTACCAAATTGGAAGGATTATATCAGAAGGCTATAATGACTTACAGAAGGTTATAATCAGATTGTATCACTCATAAGAGTGAGATGGTTCAGTCTCACACTGCCAGAGCAATTTTTATGCAGTTATGTCACTTCCTAACAAATGCCTTAACTACACATTCCCTAATGCTAATTAAATTCAGCCTTCACAATAGTTAAAGAATTTGTACTGTTCATTTGAATTTAATCACAAGCAAAATATAGACCTCCTCCAAATGAGACATGAGGTATTCGTGTCAACAAAGAAAACCAACAGTGCCCCAAGACACTCCCTTGTTTGGGAGAATTTACTTAGTTCATAAGATATACAGAGCCAAACTTATGATTAGAAAAAAGTACAGAAACTTGACTTTCAGCTGGTTACACTGAATTGTTTTTGCTGCTCAAAGTCACCTAAGTGAGGTTTGTGTACACCTTCTACAAGTGCTACCTCAGATCAATCATTCCACACTGCCTTCCAGACCCCCTCTTGTCCATCACGCTCTTGCTGTATTCAGGTAATGATCTTGAATCTTTGCTGGAGAAAAACTCTTTGATTTAACAGCTTTTTCTCTTCACTCTGTAGCTACAAGTCGGATGACAATATTTTTTCCATAACATCCTTGGAATACCCTGTGCCAGCAGAAGGTTCAGTGCCAAACTCTAGTGATCCCTCTGGCAAAAGGGAAATGGGCATTGCCTGAGTCTGCTTCCCTACAGCCTTGAAAACTCTGCCTGTCTGTATTTCTAAAGCTGATTCTAAGACATCAGGATGGCGGCAGACCGTTTACCTGAGCAGATCTGGGCAGTTACAAATTGTCACTCCATTTGTGCTTGCCTCCACAGGCTCCTGCCAGAAGCATTCTGAGTCCTGGCGAGCTTTCCTGCCTCGGTGCAGCCACGTTTTGGAAAGTGTTGAGTTTTCCCACCAAAGATAGAAATAAATTATAGTTGAAGTCAAGAGGTGTCAAGTGCACAATGCTCGTGTCTCAGTACACATCGAGGTGAAGCCAGCCTAACAAGCTATGCTGAGACTGCTGTGCCGAGGTAGCCAGGCAGCTTCCAGCAGGTGCCAAAAAGCAGGCACAGCAACTCACATCTGGCTGCAAATTCATTTACTCAGTCCACAGTTGATAAAACCTCTCAGGCAAATTTGGCTTTCAAAGTCCCATTCACCTCTCTAGCATGCTGGAGACAGGAATAACTGACATGTTCTTCCAGACCCCTGAAATGATATAAAACTATTTTTAGAAAGGTTCAAACCGACTTACTGATTAAAAAAATCATGCTTCTTATGTGTCACTCTGAGTTTGGCTCACTGGATAATATGGGGTCCAAGGAATTTTGGCTGGTTTTATTTAGCCTTGTCTACAGTAACAAGTTTGATTGCACCACTTCTAAACCATAAATAGCAGATCAGTCACCAGTCCTGAAGAGCTTCCTTTGACTAGACTTCCATCACCTCTTCCTGTAATTTCTACAGCATTTTGCTAAATATTAAAGCTAATTTACCCCTCCTGAAGTTTCAGACCCCTTCTGCCTGACAGCTTGTCAAGTGTTGATAAGTGATAAATGGAAATATCTCACCCTTTCATACAGGGAACCAAGGAAGATTTTTTTCTTTGAAACAAAGTACCTCATACTTCCTGTTAAGATGATTCATGTGAGTAGGTAATGATAATGACTTACCGTCTGTACACCCATCCATCCAGATTGAGACCAAAACTCCATAAGCAGTAGAGACAATTGTCTGTGCTCATTCAGAGAAGACATTCATTCCTTTCTCCTACGCTAAGACTGATCTTAAAATAAAGCACTTCCCGGAATGAGCAATGCTATATGATTCTGGTACATATCACCAATCGGTACCAAGTTGTGAGGGGTTTAATGGCACTGAATTGTTGCATGTGCCTCGCTGATACTCCCTTCTGTATCTGTGAACCCAGTGTGATTAAGCATGGAAGAATCAGTCTTTCTTATATTTAACATACCTGCAGATCTAATTTCACTTAAATGCAGCTCACTGCAGTTGTGAGTCACCAGCTGGGTACTAACTATCAAAGAATAGGTACAGATAAAACAGAGGAGTTAGATTGTTTCTATTATGAAGAATGCAACTGACTGTGTTAAAAGCACTACAAGCCTCTTAGGTAAAACTTGTGCTAGAGCCAGTGGGTTCCTGCAAAATGTAATAGAGGGAAAAATAAAGTGAATCTTTTATTAAATTTTTTTTTTCTGTTTATTCCCTTAAGGTGCAAGTTCAAGGAATGACAGGGAACATCCAGTTTGACACCTATGGGCGGAGAACAAATTACACAATTGATGTGTATGAAATGAAAGCAGCTGGATCACGGAAGGTGAGTTTCAAGATATGCATCCTGATTTCACATCTTCACAGATACTTATTCCAGCAAAGGTACTACACAGGCACTGTAATAACAGGGCCCTGAGGAAACCCCACCTTCTCGCTGTCTTCTCTATCCCAGGAACCTTGTTCTATTCTGTTCCTGGGTCAAGCCACTCACCCTGGTTAATATCTTCATCAGTTTCAATGTCAACTTCAGACTTCACTTTTTCCCCTAAAGCCCTTTTGGAGCTTTTCCACTACCAAGCATAATACCTACTGTCATGGTCCTGTGCTCAGCCCTATCTCCTTTAATTCCGTTCCATCTTTCCCTTCCCCTCCACAACAGGCCTTGGAGCCATAGCAAAGCAGGAGCCTGTGGATTTTAGAAACTTTCCGAAATAAACAGAAAATAAGTTTGGTTTCAATTAGAATTTGCTACTCATTCCCTTGTCTCCTAAATAAAGTCCAGACCCTAAGTGGGATAGGTGCCTAGCACCCCGTTATGGAAGGAATTTAGAGCAGATTTTCAAAAATAATGACGTCAACAGGGTTTCAGGAGAATCGAGAGAAGAGTCCGTGCGGCCAAGGCATGTAAATCCCCCTGATTTCACGTGGTGAAACGTACCTGACCTGCTTAGGCACCACCGAGAGTCCTTACACTCTTCTGCACATATTTGACAAGAAAACACCTCTGGACATGGCTTAGCCATTCAGCTAGGTTTATAGTGCCAACAGCAGTGTTACTTCTGTGTTATGCAGAAACTGATGTAAGCACATAACAGTGTAGCCACAGCACCATGAACATCAGCACAAGCCAGCTGACGAATAGCCACCTCATGGTCACTGGGGGTTTTGTATCCCATACTGAAGATAATGATGTGCCTGCATTGCTAATGATGTCTGGGCATCCGCTCTAAACCTAGCTCAGGCATGCCTGTAGGGACTGCATTCACTGTCCAAACCATGGCAGGATATGGATAAAAATGATAAAATCAAAGAATTTTACTCAGAGTGCTGTGCAGTTTAATTTCTTGTCTATAGCATATTTTTATGCTGTAGGGGCATGAGAATTTATTCCACAGGCACTACAATGATGTGAATTTAGATTGAGGGAACTTAATACGCATTTTCACTTAGATTTGGCTTGTATTTATTTAGTGATCTGCTTGAGAACATGGTTTCTTTAAAGAAATTGGATTAAAGCTAAAGTTGTCCTTTAATGGCAAGAATGTTGCGTGCTACAAAGCCCTGTCTTTTGAGCTTGCTGTTGCAAGTTCATGCACCTGAGTCCTTGTAAAGACATACAATGAGGTAACAATCTCCATTTTTATAGGTTGGTTATTGGAATGAATATGAAAGATTTGTGCCAGCGTTAGATCAGCTGCCCTCTAATGACACTTCATCTGTGGAGAACAGAACTATAGTAGTCACTACCATCTTGGTAAGTTTTATGTTCTTAGTGTGTTTGTGTTTGGGAAACGACACATGACTCCTGAGGTGTGTTAGACACCTTGACAGGAGGCAAATGTTGAATAGTGTGTGACTTCAAGTGACTGAAAAGTTCAGTATCTTCCAGAGATGTACTGAGGGCTTGACCCTGCTAACTTCTCTGTGTATCAATAACCTTATTCACATAAGAAGCTCACTGAGCTCAACACTCTGCTGCTTCTCAGACACTTGAACTCAATCAAATGTCTCACAGAAGTTATTATGCATGTATGTAATTGACTGCAGGATCTGGCCTTCCTGCTATAGGTTCAAATCTTGCACCCTTCACTCAGGTACAGCTCCTGTAAACTCAGCACCTGTGGACTGAGTAAGGGTGGCCTGTAGAAGCCTGTAGAGAACTGGAGCTGCTCTAGCACTGGGTGAAAAGCGACCTATACCTGTGCAATTCCAGAGGAGTAAAGCTTTTCCTGTGTCTCACAAACAGCAGCATGTGTGTCAGTCCCAGTGCCTCTAGCAGATGTGTTATGTACAATATTGTTTGTGACTTTTATGGCTGTTACAGTTCTACTAAGCATAACCAATTTTATGCTACTTCCTGAAGCACTGTATTTTACACTTCTATGGATTTAGTGAGATATAATCAGCATTTCAGCTAGAATTTTCCAAGAAGGCTAAGGGAATTTAGTTGCAAAAATTGCTGCTTTCTAGCTTCCCTTAGGCTGTTTGAAAATATCTCCATCAGAGCCCCATTCTAGGCCACTGGGGCCTTAGGAAATTATTTTGATGGTATGGATGTTGGGTATGTCAGTTCTTTAACACCTGAGTTACTACTACAGTGATGCTATTTGACTGTCTAATCAGGCCTAATCCTGCAAACAAAAGTGTAACTTTGTTAAACTGGAATAGTCCTGTTGTCTTTAGTGGATCCATACTAGGAACTAAATCAATGGTATGTGTGGCCGTAGGATCAGACAAGAATTTTTGAACTGCAAAAGCCTGTCTTTCTAATTGCTGTACCAAAGCAGGAAATACTGTAAATACTTGCCAGTAATATAGAGGATAATAACAGCTCTCATTTTGTATGTTTTAAAGCTGTATTTTACATTCATAGACTTTTGATCTTTACTTTTGTTTCAAAGGAATCACCATATGTAATGTATAAGAAAAACCATGAACAACTAGAAGGGAATGAGAGATATGAAGGATATTGTGTAGACTTAGCTTCTGAAATAGCAAAACATGTTGGAATAAAATACAAACTGTCAATTGTTGGAGATGGGAAATATGGAGCTAGGGACCCTGAGACTAAGATATGGAATGGCATGGTGGGTGAACTGGTCTATGGGGTAAGTTTCTCTTAACCTTCATTTTAATGTTCTTTATTAAAAGTTATGCTGAAAGTTAATAAACTGCAAAATAAAGATGATTTGTTTGAATACCACCTTTTAAATTCTAGGTATTTCTTTCCAGTGCTATTGTTGTAGTTTACATTTCTAATCATTTTGTTGCAGGAAAGTGTCACTTTTTTTACTGCTGTTCTCAAATCAGAGTCCATAAAATGTTAAGAAATGGCACTAGGCAAATTTCAAATTCCTGTCTACAGCAGAATTTCTGTTTTGCCCTTCGTAAACTACTTTTGCATATGCCATGTCTCCTTTTCTCTGTCAGTCTTGGAAGTGCTGATAGGGTGCCCCTCTCATTAAAGGTCTGATGCTATGATGCTAGCGCTTGTTGGATCACTGATGTCAGTTTGTGTTTGACCAGAGACTAAGGACTCAGCCCCATGGTTGGGTAAGAAGCAATGCAGGTGTGAAGTTACCCACATCCTTTTTTGTTTTAAACCCTGGCTTTAAAAAACAACTGTCAGACACACACAAAAAAAAACCCTCTAATTCATTGCATTCATCTTTATATTTCTATCCTGGGTGTATATTTCTTTGTTTAGTAAGAACAAAAACAGTCCGGAATTGCCATTTTAGAAACTTCTTTGAAAATGAGAATTTTGGAATACAGATAAACCAGATGGAAGGAGGAGAAAATTGGCTTTGCAGAAAAGACTTTACAAGCTGATATTTCATCTTTTTTTTTTCCCCAAATGGTGATGAGATGATTTGTGATTCCGCCCAAATCTTTACAGTTTATTTTTAACAAGCTCTGCTTTATTAAAAATATCTGAGCAGGAGTGAATATTTCAGTTGCCTCCTTTTGTTCCATAGCTGAGTGTAATTTCTAAAAGTCACCTCAAAATTTCCTTGGGATAATATGTCATGGTTCTTGCAAAATGTTTGGTGAGATAATTCCTTCCAAATGAATCAGGCTTTTTAAAGTACTTGCTAGATTTGCAGAAGTTTTCTTATTCTGGCTCAGTGAGAATAAGTTGATGTTTTATTCTGGTAAATCCTGATGCCTTATTACATACCTGGTAGCCTATTTGACTCCAAAATATTTTATATAAGTAACAATGTTTTTGTAGTATTGCATTAAGGGGAGGGTGGGAAATCTGCTGATAGAGAAAGTGAACGGGGGTCTGGACCGCTGTGTTACATCTTCTCTTCCCTGTTGCACTGAGGTTTGATGTTATGCAGATATGTGAACTCCCGTGCCTTAATTAGGTGTTTTGGGAAACTGGTTTTACCTCTTTTAAAGAATACAAGAGCATTGATAACCTCTGAAGCAAAGGTTTAGTTTAGTTCCAAGCAAATTGCACTGCAGTGGAAACCTAAACCCTCAGTTTACCTGTATGTGGTTCAAGAAATACCAAGAGTATTAGCTGTAATTGAGTCCTTTTGATATATTTGCAAGTCACAAGCCATGAAACAGTTTATTCACTTTAAAAAGTAATCATACTATATGCAAAAGGCATGACAAAATGGAACCTGAAATTACTGCTAACAGCCAGGGCACAGAGACCATCTACACCAGAACAGGAAAGGTGTGATACAGGCCACTGCCTCCGGGACTTGGGCCAAGTAAGATTAGCCTGTGCAGTTGCTGTACGATGAAAGGTCCATCTGGATAACAGGCAGCAAAAATGATCAAAGGGGCTGGAACACTTCTCCTGTGAGGAAAGGCTAAGAGACTTGGGGTCATTCAGCCTGGAGAAGGCCCTGGGGAGAACTTAGAGCAGCTTTCCAGTACTTCAAAAGGACCCATAAGAGAGATGGAGACAGACTGTTTAGCAGTGCCTGTTGCGACAGGACGAGGCATAATGGTTTTAAACTAAGAGAGGGTAGATTTAGACTAGATTTAAGGAAGAAATGTTTTTACATTGAGGGTGGTGAAACACTGGAACACAGGTTGCCCAGAGTTGGTAGATGCCTCATCCCTGGAAGTGTTCGGGGTCAGGTTGGATGGGGCTTTGAGCAACCTCCTCTGTTTGAAGATGTCCCTGCTCATTGCAGGGGTTTGGACTAGATGACCTTTAAAGGTCCCTTCCAGACCAGACCACTCTGTGATTCTATGATAAACAGGTTGGTTGCAGCTGCCTTTTCCAAAGCCTCTTGGAAGGAGCCTTCCTCAGAGAGCTCTGCCTTCTTTGCGTCAAACAGCCCTAGCTACTTCCCTTTGACCCAGCCATGCTGGTTGACCTTGCCCCACCAGCAAAAACAAGCCCCACGGGCACCACAGAGCATACCTTAAAACAGCCCCTAACCCACCCCACCACTCTAATTTTCTCCTGCAAAAAATGTCTGTTCCTTTGTATTCTGAAGCTCAGTTTTCATCTGTGTTTTCTCATTAATGAAAAACAGAAGAATGTTTCCCTCCCTGACCCCCAACAGCTCCTCTTCTCATGCTGTGAGCTCAGTTACTGAAGCTCTTCACTGCAGTGCTCAATTATTCAAAGGTCAGATGCATCCCTTGAGGTTTGACTGTAGACCCAGGTTAATGCTTACAGCCCAGTGCTGCTGAGCTAGCTCCCCATCCTGCAGAGCTGAACCTCTCAGCTGGCAAGCTGCACAGAAATCCACCTGGCTTTCTGTAGGCAAGAAAGCAGCCTCTGAACTCTTAAGTAGAAGCCTCACCAGCCCTCCAGATCCTTTCCTAGCCATGTGAGCAAACACCACCAAATACCCTTGGCCTCTTTCTCTATCTGTTGAGAGGGGGCTGTGTCCCACACTCACGAGGATGTGCACAAAGCCCTTTGAAGATGAAAAGTGTTCTAGAAGTGCTAATTATTTGGAGCAAGTGCCTCATTTACGTGCTGACTTTCCTTTATCTCTCAGGGGCTTAAAACTCTATTAGGGAGCTAAAACTGTACGTTACCCCTGATGCCCCCATGAGCCTTGTCTTAAAAAAATGACTGTCATATTTGGCTCCTCTGGTTTCCATTTTGGGAAGACAAGAGGGAGATTAGATTTTAAATGCCTTTATTAGCATGTATGGAAGAGAGGCATGGGGGGGATAAAAGGGGCCTGATTGGTTTTGGTACCAGTTATCCAGCAGCTGATCTGAGTTGTGGCAGAAAACACAATCTTTTAGATTGCATTTGTCTCAAGTGATAAAGAGAGGCAAATGCAGCATTCTCCTGGCCCAACAGCCTTCTCACCACCCTGGCACTGCCGGGAAGTGTTACCAGGCCTTTTGTGCTGTGCCCTATTTTGCATAGCCCCTTGCATACAACTCATTCCTAAAATTGCTCTTGGGCAGTCATAGGAAGTGAGTGGCTTGTCATTTTAATGCCAGAACCCTCATTAACTGTAGTTAATGTTTCATTCCTGACAGTTCATTGTTACTGTCGCTCTGGCTTCCTGTGGGATGCACTGTAGTCAGGAGAGAAAGTGCAGCCAGGTCCTCGCAGCCTCCAGACCACTGCACTGTAGGGCTCTGAATGGCAAGGAGGAATGGAGGGGACTCGGTGTGTGTCGAGCTGTCTCTGAAGCAGCAGGGGTGCTGTGTCACAGCATTGCAGGTCCTGAGGCTGACCAGCACAGCCCTGACTCCAGTGTTTGTGCCTGGAGGTCTGCATTAGCTAGGTTAACTGGAACAGTCCCAAGAGGTGTACATTACCTTGGCATAAACACACTAAAATACTTCCCATTAGAAATTCCCCCTCCCCTGTCCCATGTCACATCAGGGCTGGTTGGAGGGTGTAAAAGTCTGCTGCGCTATAGGGCCCCCTGAAGTCAAGGAAAATCTCAGCTGATTCTCTTGGACCATTCCTTGTGGCTTGCAATGGGCTGTACAAATGAACCCGATTACAGAGAAGGCAGCATAGGGATGGCAGCCCTAGAGGCGAGAAGTTCTGGCTGAGCCAGTAATCCCAAACTCCTGTGCTTCATATGATTTCATGTGCAGAAATCATAAGTCTTGTTAGAGAGGAGCTAATGGGGCTTTGTGGTTTGTTAGCAATTTTCAGATGTTGGTGGTAGTAGTGATAGTAGTAGCAATAATAAATGGTAATAAAATATGGCATAAAATGAAATTTATTTAATTTTTCATAAATAAAAGTTCAGGTTGAAGAAAATGTTAATTTTGCTCTTTCATTCTGTTGGTGTCAAAATAAGACTTATTCGTACTAGAAAAAAACCTCTACCAATTCAAGTGCTATTATCTTTCAAACTAAGAAAAATTTCTAAAACATAGTGGGAACTTTTGACAGAATAAAAGTAGCAACAAGGTAAAGGCTTTTTTTTTTTCATGGACATTTTAGATGAGGGAAGTAGCTAAATCATTCTCAGGCTGGAAGGCTGAATGACTGTTTAAATCTAAGCAGCCAAGCAAGTCATCAAGGCAAGTGCTGTCCTCCAGTGATCTGTCCACCCACTAAGGATGTGCAGGGCTGAGGAGCAGCAGCACCTCCCGGTGCACAGGGCTTCGTACCCACCAGCTGCTGAGCACTAGACAGTCGTCTTTTCTCTTCTGCGGGGTAAGCCTCTGTCTGTAGGCTTTTATTTCTTCTTTCCCTTTTGAAGCAGGCTGCTGTTCTTCCTTCACTGTGCAGCCAGGGAAAGCCTTCCCTCCCCGGGCCTGATGCTTTTCACAGTGCTGAGGCTAATTGACAGTAGGTTCAACACAGATCTTAATTGTAGCTACAAATGCTTTGGGACTGGAAAGAGCAGCCAAACCTTACAGCCTTTAAAACTCTCCTCGGGTAAAAAAAGGCCTTTATAAAAACCTTTCAATATGTAAAATGGCGTAAAGGAATGAAGCACGGATGTAAAGAACAGACAGTCCCCTGAACACAAGCAGCCTCCACAGTCTGTCAGAGTGGGACCACCTACACATCTCCCTGCCTTTAACAGCTAACCAGCCTCGCCTGGCCTCTCTGGCTCTCTCAGCAGCAGAAGAAGGACTACATATGGCATATACAGCCTTTGAATCGTAGTAGAGTGGAAGACTAATTCTCCTCAAAATGTCCCATGTGCTCTTAGCCTGTGGCAGAACCCGACTGTGCCATGAGCAGGAGAAGCCTGCCCTTCACCCCACATCCCTGGTTTCCACAGGAAAGAAGCCCAGGGGCAGGTGCCCAAAGGCATCTGATACCCTGCAGCTCAGGCAGCTCTGTGCGGGTAGACATGGGGTCCCTTCCCAAGCAGCCACTGAGCCATGGTGGCACCAGGACCACAGCCCTGGCACAGCCCCATGCACAGAGCCACACTGACATGGGCCCAGGCTCCATCTCCACATGCATCTCCGCAGCTCAAAAAGCAGATGTACCCTTAATTTCTCCATCTGCATACAATAATAGTGTATCAGGAGGAGCTGTGGGCATCCACATAAAGTGTGCATAGTCTGAACACTGGCAGACTACAGCAGACAAGGCCAACTGCAGTTTAACACCTTTTTACACTGCCCAGCTAATACACATTCAGACTTCAATGGAGCACATTGCTAGTTGGGTGTCAGCTGTTGTTTTTGAACAAGTGTGAGCTAATGTGTTAAAAACACGTTGCCCCCATGACTTGGCCTCTCAACACATCCTTGGGCATGCTGGACTCTTCACAGGGTAGCGTTTAGCAGTAGGTACCACAGATGATGTGTTGCTCTGTCTGACACCCTTTTCTGATACTTGGAAACCTCAGACTGTACTGAGAGGGCCTAAAATGCACTCAGTCAGTTATCATTCCAGCAGTCTCTTCTATGTATCTGCATTCAGCACTTCTGGGGTGCTTGGCTCCTGATGGAAACCAGGCAGCGTCCCTCTGCTTCAGTCCACACATACCTTAAGTGCTGGCTGGCTTCCTGTCACACAAAGGCTTTGTAAAGTGACCGTAGCCCAGGCCCACTGCTTGAAAAACAGCACACTAGCAAAGGAATTGTTCAGTTCTGCAAGCATGAATGACCTGCCCGTGCAGGCAGGAGCATAGCTGATAGCGCTTGCTGTCTCTAGTGCGTAGCTTTGAAGTTAGGAAGACTCATCTTTAGGTCTGTAAGCAGAAGAATTTGAGTCCTCCTTTTGGATTACAGAGGTGGAACATCTTATCATTTTTATTTCCCCATGCAGAGGGATATTTCCATTTGGTATTTTTCTCCCTCCCCTTAAGAGTATTAAGGATTGGAGCCCCCTGGGGTCAGCTTTGAACAGAGTGGGTAGTGCCTCTGTGCTGCATGTCCTGTCTAAATCCATCCCTCCCACACTAGTAGGCAAAGGCAGAACAAGCCTCAGAGGAATCCATGACATTTCTCACCCAGCGCAAACGCAGCAGAGATGATGTTTGAAACGCCGTTAGTCATGAGTGATTAGCAAAGCTTAGTTGTTGAGGTTCTTAAACCCCCCCTCCAGTTCTGCACAGGGAAGGGCATGGTTGTGGTTGTGTTCTTTTTAATCGAGCTCAATTTTTATGAGTTCTGCTTATCTGCAGCCATAACAGGAGGGAAATTCACAACTGTGCTGCAATTATTAATGATCCTGTAGGGTGCTTAGAGCTCTCCATAAGCTCTCCATTTCAAATACTGTATCTCTAAGTAAATAAGCTAAGAGCAGTCTGGGTTTTAACCTCTCTAGTCCAACTAATATTCAGAGAAGCGGTGGGGAACCAGGTTCAGTTGCTGGATTGTAGCTGGTCTGCTCTCAGTGCCCTGGTTGTCGATGATTTCCTGAGACCCTGTGTCTGAACCCACGCTTGTTCCCTCTGCAGAAAACAATTGCTGCCATTTTCATTTAAGGCATGAAGGTGTTTGTTGGTGTTTCCATTATATTGAACACCTACTGAAAATGGTAGGAAAGCAGGAAGACAGAAACGTGTAGGAAAAAGTATTTTATCTCTTAATATTAAAATGTAATTTAAAATTGTTTACAAAGAAATCCATGCTGAATGGTATGAATGAGGACATGGCAACAAGGCCTTTAAAAACTGATTTATCTGTGCTTCAGCACAGCATCAGCTTCATTCCCCCCAGAGACCCTACAGGAACATCCCAATGAACTCAGCTGCTCATGAAGGAGATGATACAGACTATTGCACGCTGCATCAGCACATAGGAAGAGCTCCACCATGTCTACTTTTGCAATTAAAATATTACTTTGGGAACTGAATGTTCTTCCAGCTGAACCAGCCTTTTCCTGCCTGACGAGCTGTCCCAGGGCTGGCTTTCCATGTGCAGAAGTGCCAGGCAGTAAGGCACCTGCCTCCCACCCAAGCTTCACTTCATATGCAGCCACTGCTAAGTCTCTGTAGGGGTCCTTATCCATTAAGCTTACTCTCCTAAGGATTAATTTGTAAGTAGTTCATTAATTCAACGTGAAACACAGTAGCCGTGGTCAAAGTGCTTAGTCTTCCAGCCAGCCATGGACTCTGACTACATTTAAAACTGATGCTCTGCATCTTGTACTGACTGCAGGCATGTAATATTTAACAGGAGCTCAATAAGCAGCAGCTGCTAGACAAATATATGTTTGGGGGAAATTCAACAGTGAAGATGTTCCAGCATCACCCAGTCCCTTTACCATACTCTACCTGTGTCCCCCCAAGTTTCTCTATTACTTAGGTAATGAACACATTCATCTGCAAAGCCAATGAACACCCAAGTATCCAAAGGCAGTCAGAATTTTCAGGTTTTGTAGTCAAGCCACGTTAGGCTGGATTTTTGCAGTAAGTGACCAAATCACTTTGGTTTTCTCCTTGGGGAAGGTGGTCACTTAAGGGAAAAGACAATGTCTAACGGGGCTGAGGAGGGCTGTGAGAGGGTACACCAAGGTCCATGGTTTCCAAATGGCTTCCTTCTATGTACAGAAATAGTTTATCTGATTATTATCAAACCACTGAAAGTCCCTTGGGCATGGCTGCACAGTGCCACTGAGGCAGCAGCTGGCACAGAGCAGTGATACCAGGATTAGCCTTGTGAGAGGCCTTCACCATTTCTGATTATTAAATGTTAAAAAAACCAAGCCACAAAACAGCTATCTAGGAGGAGGAACAAATCGGATATTAATGCAAGTCATGTACACTGCCATCAGATTTATAGAAAGGCATATTCAATTATTTTACGGCAGAGATTTTAATCACTTCTTATTAACATTTCCTAATAACTTTTATTCAAACTTCTACTTAATCAGGTTTTATTTTTGCATCAGAAAGAGGTACATACTTACAAGTGGAAAACAAAAATCTGATTTAAAAGGTGCACTGTGGTTTAGGTATTGAGAAGTTAAATTTTCCCTAGGAATAATTTTTTCTCTCTGAAACTCTTAATTTACCAATGAAAGGCCATCCGTAGAAATATCAGTAGCATGAATAGTTAGGGTTTAACTTTTCAATAGTTTAAAATAGAAGATTTAAAACATTACATGTAGGTATGCAGACCCTCATAAAAATAATTTTTAAATTAAAAGGGCCCTTTTTTTTAACATTCTAGTCCCTTCTGTTGCAAAAGCTGACACCTGCTTGAGTGCTTGCCTGAATCAAGACTAGGTTATCTAGCAGCATGACTTGACTCTTTCTGGCATAGAAATACAGGTACAATTAAAAGCATGTTGAATATAAATTCTGGAATGCTATGTTTGATCAGGTAATAGTACATTTTTTTACTTCATGTTCTTACCCTCCCGTGGAATCCAACAAAGCTGTATTGATTAAAGAGAAGGGCATTGGTTCAGAGTATACCAACATGCTGGTAAATGACAGATGCAATGCGATGAGGTTTGTGCTTCCAGGTGATGCAGCTCCAGAGCATAGTCTGTGTTAAAGATCCATAGAGCTAAGTTCTGTAAAATATGATGATATCCATTATACTGAAAAATACTACTTTGCATTTTTCTCAGGTAACCCAGGCTATTGACAAATCCTCATTATTGCTCTTCAGTGACCACAGAAAAAGTGTGCTGTCTAGTTCCTATCACCCCACTATTTTGCCATCTTGCATAGATTATTACAAAGGGGTTTCAAATGAGTATACAAGTGGCAGCATCCAAATGCAGCTGAAACTCAGTGACCTATTACTTCTCTTAGATTCCCTTTAAAGGTCCCGAACTAATCAGTAAGGCAAAAGAACTTGCTGAAAGAATGGGAAAGAGAAAGTAAAAACATAACAAGCACATAATTTGCCCAAAGTCTTCAAGACAGGGGGATGGATACAGATCATTACTAGAAAATGGCATTGTTTTAGTTGCTATTTAACTGTCCAGTTTGCATAGTGTTTATTCATCTGTTTTAACTTAATAGAAACATAAATACATGTTGATATCTATCTGCCTCTGTCGTGAGGCCCTTGCACGGGTTTGATTGTAATTTTTCTTAACAATTTGCTATCAATATCATATAGTCCTTAACTTCAGGGACTGCAGAATAGGCTGCAAAGAAAATGTTTCATACTGGTTCATGTAATTTATCATCTGATTCATTAGCCTGAGATTCTATATTGCGATTATGTTGCAACTGTTTTGTAACTAACTTGGGTTTGTTTTCCCTTTTCAGAGAGCAGATATAGCTGTTGCCCCCCTCACCATAACACTGGTGCGAGAAGAAGTCATAGACTTTTCCAAACCCTTTATGAGCCTGGGCATCTCCATCATGATCAAGAAGCCTCAGAAATCTAAACCGGGCGTATTCTCTTTCCTGGATCCTTTGGCTTATGAAATTTGGATGTGTATAGTCTTTGCTTACATTGGCGTCAGCGTAGTTCTTTTCCTAGTCAGCAGATTCAGTCCTTACGAATGGCACTTGGAAGACAGCAGTGAAGAGCCACGTGACCCTCAGAATCCTCCTGACCCTCCAAATGAGTTTGGAATATTTAACAGCCTTTGGTTTTCCCTGGGTGCCTTTATGCAGCAAGGATGCGATATTTCTCCAAGGTTTGTTCCATATCACTCCATCCCCTTTTTGCATTTTATGGTCATTTTCTGATGCCATGGTGCATATATGTTACTTTTTTTCAAATTTCTTTTTAATTCAAAATTTTTGGTTTTGACATTCCATTCAATGCTCAGCATCATCATCAAGCCACCATGCTTGCTAATATTGACCTCCAGAGTGAAGAGCATTGCTTTATAATGATATTTATGCATTTCTGCCCAACTTATATACACCATGTTGAGGCTGTAAAATGCATAGGGTTTTCTGTTTTCAGCAATGCTTGGAGGGCTACCGTGTTTTTGCTGCATATCTCATTTTACGGTCATCTCCTTGGTGCATATAACATATTCTGTTTTGTAAAATAAGACTTGTTTATTTAAAAACATCACATGCAACAGCACTTTAAAACACCTCCACTCCCATCATGGCTTCTGCTAGTCTTTTTTATTCTGTGCCTAGTCTGTCTAGTTCTGTTTTTCTTGAACCATCCTCTCACCTGTTACTAATTTGCTTACCACCATCTTTCGTATGTTCAGGTCTCTGTATGTGCCTCTCTAACAGCTACTGCACAATACCCTGTACGTGTATCGTTATTTCAGTCCTGTCTAATCTGTTGTCCCTGCGTTCATAGTCAATATGGTCTAATAAGCATTGCCAGTTTCCATAAAGATTTCTCTTATTCATGAAGACAGTCTTTCTGAATAAGACTGTAATAAAAATGTTTGACATTATTCCAGTTGAACAGAGAGCACTGGTAGTAACTTGTAGAATTATGTTTTTAAAGAAACATTTTGAAAACCATTCTTAATTGAACAATGCATAGCACAAATGGTTTTGAATAATATATATAATATTACTTAATTTCCACTGGAAAAATAATTCGGTGATGTGCTTATGATAAGCAGTAAAATTATCTGGGTTCCTAGTGATGGAGCACTGCTTATATTTTGTATGACAATATTTTAATAACCAATTTACAGCTATTTTAATTACTAAAAATACTTGCTTAGTACAAACAGGATGCAGTTTTTTCCTTTCACAAGGTTGCTAGTTAAAGCAAGAGAGATAGATATTTTCTAATCAAGCACTTAGATTCGAAATACACCTTGTCAGTCTTTATATTTGTGTACCTTTTTCAATACCTGAATCATTGATGTTACCAGTTTTTCCTTGTCCATATAGTGATAGGGATCTTCAATAGCCTCGCTGAAGGAAGTGCAAAACTTCTATGAAGTTTAATGGAAAGGATCATGATTCTACCTGTTATAATGTAATAATGATCCTTTAAGTTCACAGCCATTGCACATTCAAATATCCTAATGCTAGCAGCAAAATCCAGGACTTCTAGAGATATTGGCATTGGTATTTGATGGAAGTCATGCATATGTTTTAAAAGCCTTGACAGCAGCAATTAGATTCATACTTATTGACAGCTGAATATTTATCCTATGTAAAACACACACACTTTTGCCTGGGTATGACCACGCAGTTACCAGTGTCTGGGTGTGCTGCCCCACCATAGTTATAGCTGTTTGCCTTCTCCTCCTGTTTATACACCGTGCTTCTGCTTTATACCTAAATTCTGTGGTGAAACTTTGCCTCTCTGCTTGCTCTTAAAGATGATGAGTAGTGTTAACATTTAAATTGCTGTTGACCATGTGTGTGCCCAATATAAAGGACCGGGAAATAAGCACTGGGACATCACATGGAAAGCTGCAGGCATTGCTCTGTTTCCACTAGGTCTGTTTATTGACAGTTAAATAGAAGTCCATAGGATTTTTGTTACTCTCTCATGTGCCCCTTTGACATATCCAGCAATTTACCTTATATAACAAGTGGAACATACTCGTATTGTTCTTCAGGGCTACGACAATAAGTGCCTTGGCAATACCTACTAAAAAAGAAAATCAGCAATAAACCTATTTATTTTATCTGTCCATCAGAAGTTATTAGCTCAGCAGTAGTATATGGCCCTCATTTGAAGACATTGTCCAGTTAATTATCTTTCATGATAACAGATTCCAGGCAGTTACATGCATTGTTACTGAAAAAAAAGAGAAAATTAATACCTTTAAACACTGTTCTTTTGACCAATATGTTGATTTAAGTTGATTAAATGTCAAATTTCTTTTCCATAGAAGGGACTGTTTCCATATATTTCATTCTTAATCTGTACCTTTGTAAGGTTACACCATTCACAGTACACTGACTTTATGAATGTTTCATACTATTTTATTGCCATTAAAAGGGGCTTCATTCTTCCATTGTGAGCTTTGTCTGAATAAATTTCTTATATGAGAGCGTACAGCACTTGTAGAGAGATGCCGACAAGCAGTCTGGAGAGATCACTTTTGTACTTGCTGATAAAGGCTCTTTCAGCTGCCTTTGTGTGGAACAGCTGTGACATCTAATGACTAGTTAGATCTATCCTTGGTGAGTATGCTGTGTGGATATTCCAGAGGAAATATCCCTGTACTCTCCTCTCTGTATTTAATAGGAGTCATCTAAATGGAATCAGATAGCAGCCAAAGGATGGGGTTAGTGCATCCCTTGATGGAATCAGCATTTGTTTCAGCAGTTTTGTTCTGCTATCAAAGGCTGCTGTGTTTTCTGCATAGTGAGCTAAAGCATTGAAAATTCACTTTTGATGGATCAAAAGTAGATTATTAAACTTGCTTTAATGTAAGATGTGCACAGCAAATGGAATCAGGAGAAAACACAGTCAAATTTGTAACACAGTTCTGAGAGAAAGTATCTTTGAAATCTCTAAGAGAGTGTGTATTTTCATTTTGCTCTTTATTCATATGGCACAAAGAGGCTAGATTAATTAATTGCTGATGGAAGAAGACAGGGGGTTCATTAAAAATTATCTCATGAGGTTGGTCATTTAGGAGGGTGTATTTCAAGATCCGTATTTTCACAGCAGAAGACTCAAGAGACTCCTATTAAAGGCCATGGGAATGACTTTGTGGGACTTTCAAAATAGCAATGAGAGGTAAAGAGGTATTTCTGAAACTCCCACTGCCAGTTCCTATGATAGAAGCATCTCAAGGCAGTGCTTTAGATGCTGTTGTTTCTTGTGTTTTGTCTCAGTAGCTGTCTGGCCCCATGAGGCCAGCAGGAAAGGCAGGGGCTGGCTGGGCATGGGGACAAGGGACTGAGCTTGTAGCTTCTTAGGCACCAGGTGACTTGTACACAAAATACAGACAAGTTCTAGACAAGGAGGGTTTGCACCAAAGTTCTTGAAGGTTATTTGTCAAAATAGCAGCCATCTCATATCGATCAAAAGAGCCCAATTAGAAATTGAGCAGTGTAAGAAGCTTATTATTTAGGTGTACTACAGGAAATCAAGAATGTTTTATGGCCACGAGTAGAATCAATATTCAAGCTACTTTGGTAAATAAATGAGGTTTTGTTTAAGTGTGTTATTCTGCTGAAAAATGAATGTGAATTTGAATATTTATTTTGTTTTTCTCTTGTTACTAATTTGCTCTCATTTGACTTCATGCTTCCTTTTAAATTTCCTCTCAAGGTATGCACTCTTCCTGTTTACTTGCTTTTGAAAACATCGTCTGACTTTGTTTTGATAACTGAGCTATAATTCTGTTATTCCAGGTCTCTGTTACTCCTCTCATTTGTTAATGCGCTAGTTCACTTTAAAATAATGTTGTGCAAAGTATCTGTTTATTGAGGTCATTTGAAAAATGACGTGTTGGGATAAAGCATTAGTTGTTTGTTTCTAAATTACAGCACTGCACACTTGGACAGGTATGTCTTCATCAGAAGAAGTGGTGCTGTATTAAAAGCTGTGATTGATTTTTCTATCATTATTATCTGAGTAATGGATGAACATTTCTGTGGTTCACAGCACCAACCATAGAAGTATTCTCTTATTACCAGCCTGGTGTTTATGTACTAACCCTTTTTCTCTCACATCCCTCTACACCAGCCCCTGCAGTGGGTATAAGGAGTCTTCATATCAGCAGATGGACTGGGGGGAAGCTGGGGTCCTTTGGACAAGGAGGCTGCCAGGCCACGCTCGTCCATGTTCTTGTTCTTCTGCTCTCTCTATCTGTCTGTCTTTCCTTCAGTGTCAGCTTTGTGGTTTGTTTTGTTTTTCTTTTGCCCCATCCTGTGTACGCCCAATTACACTATCAGCCCAGACAGCTTCGTAGAAGCAGATGTTTAATGTTCCTTTTCATGCTCATTGGAAGACTCTGGTAGAAACAACTCTCTAGTGACATCCAGTTTTCTTTCAAGTGACCTCAACTCTCCTGAGAACAGCTCTGGTCCTCTAGCAAGACCCCTCTCTTGCATGTAGGACTTTCAGGCAAGTGCTACCTTCATCCAGGGATCCAGCCATGCCCACCTCCCCCTGCCTCTCAGCTGTTCTCCATTTTTTGTTCTGTATCTGTCTGACTTGATTCATGCATGTTGCAAGATCTCTGGGGCAGGATGTTTTTACCTTCCTCTGTGTGTAATAAGGCTGTATTAAGATGCAGCTCGACACAGACTTTGTATTGTTGCAGAGCGTGAGCTTCAGGTTTCAGTGGTTTAGAAGATGGTTGTCTTCTGCACATTTTTATCCCACCAACCCATCTGTCCTGCTAACAGAAGGGCAGCTAACAATGCAAATAAGACATTTCCTATGAGAAATTACAAGGAAAATGAACACACAATATTTTGTTCCCAGCAGTTACACTGAATTTATCTAAACACCCTGTCAAGTCTTCTTTTCATCTTCCTACTTCAAGACCTATTGTAAAGCAAGAGGGCCATGGGAACCTTGAAACCCCAGATAAAGCTGGTCTTGCTATATGCAAGTGGAGGTTTCATCTGCTGGCTCTGCTAGACAGACTTCTGCTCAGTCTGGCTCTGAAACTTTCCACCTCCCTGCAGGGAGGAGGAATTCAACACTGGGTCTTCGATGAAAATAGAAAGTATGTAGTGGAGGAGTGAACAAAAGGGAGGTGTATTTCACCTGACATTGCCATCTAAAAGCAATAGGCTGTGTTTTAGTTAGGCGTCTCAGTTCTCTCCAAAGTCCTAAGACAGATGGGCACCTTGAGACTTACCCCACATTACAGCAAGTGAGATAAATCTCTTTTTATCCACCAACTCCAAAGGGAGCCTCACACGACGAGTTCAGAAGGCACTGCTTTGTAGCTGGCTAAAATTATATTAGCCTATGTAAGAGGCTGGTTCAGTGTTTAGGATACCGAGTTGTACAAAGTAGCTAAAGCTTACCCAAGCTGATTAAGGAAGCTGCCCAGAAAGGCCTTTAACCATCTAACATCCCAAGAAATTCACTTGATACCTGCAAAGAACATAGAACAAGGTAGAGAGATTCTTTGACTCGCTGAATTATTCTGGATTTCTATTTCTACAACTTAACCTTTGCAGCTACTTAGTAGCCTTCTGTTAGTGATCAGCAGAGCAGCAGTGGAGCCAAGGCTGAAACTTGGAAGCCTTTTATACTCTTGGAAGCCCCCCAAGAAAGGCAGGGAAGCCTTCTCCACTCATTGGTGATCTGGTGGATGTCGTCCTGCCCTTGGGAAGCGCATGCAGCCAGAGTGATGGTGATGTCTTTCAGAGGTTCACACCTCAAAAACCATTGTTTCCTGATGGACACAGAGGTGATGCTTCACTCTTCAAGCTTCCCTGAGCTGAGTAGCCACTTGAACCACTTTGCCCATTGGCACAGACTTGATGCAGTGGTCCCTGGGTGTAACTGCTCTGGTGCTGTTATAAATAGAAACCAGCCTGCATCTGCCTGCTCACAGGGAGCTGTTGCTTCCATTTCTTGGGCAGAGGAGAATGAAGAATAGCAGAGCTTCACCTCTTAGTTTGTTTCTCCACATTCTTCTCACCTATTCCAGATCACTCTGTTTTTACTGTGTTGGCAATATTTTTTTGTTGGTGTGTTCTTTAACCTTAGATGGATTTGGTTTTTAGTTTCTGCTTTCATAATTTAATGGTATTTTTTCAATGGCCGAGGCAATCTCAGGCTCTGGCCAAGACCAGGCAGTTTCCCAGCTAATCCCCCATGTGGGAGACTCGCTTTTTTTCTATCTCCATCAGTTGGTAGGACAACTTGTACCCACTGTCTGGGGATGGCACTGAGGGGCTTGAAGGAAACAAGTGAACAGGTAAGTTTTCTTGCTTTCTATTTCTTCCCTTCACACAAACCAAGGACTACAGCATACAGGCTCCACAGATTTAATGTGCTGGGATTGATTCTTCCTGCGATGGTATCATAGATTTAAGGGAAAATAGGCAATAGCTTTGTCTTGGCTCCTGAAATGATCCCTGTCAACACGTGGTGTTTGCAGGGCGAGCACTGTACATGGCAGTGAAATTCCCCACCCAGCTGAGCACCGTGGCACTGGCACCCTCCAGCCCTCAACAGATACTTTGAGCCTGATGTTCAGTTGCTGTAAAGCGTCAAGAGCTCTTACTGACAGGATCTGGACCTCCTGACCACCAGACATTTTGTAGTTACATGTTTACAAGTAGGCTCTTTTTATAGTCCTTATGGTATCCACTTAAAAAACGAAAACCGCAACACAATTAACTTTTTTCCTGCTTTTTTCTGTTTTTGTGGTGGTTATAAAGCAGGAACATGCTTGACTTGGAACAGTGCAACAGGTACATTGTAATTAAAATAAAAAACCAAAAACGTTAAACACAGCAGCCTCTCTCCTCACTTCAGTATGCAGGTTCAGTCATGTTAGGTTGTGATGAGAGAAAGATACTGGATCAGTTTTGGTTTGTTCCTTTGCATGTTTACTCACATTCCTGTTTGCAGTTTACATTTTGAGAGTTAGTTATATAAAAGGTACATTCGTGTCCCCTGAGCTGGGCAGCCCCAAAAGAGGCATATCACAGCAGCCGGGTCCAGCCTTGGGGGAAGGCTGGGCAAGCAGAGAAGACAAAAGTCTTCTGGCAAAAGACTTCTCCAGGAAAGATCTATGGAAGTCGGGAGAGCTTCTTCCTCTCCATGCCTCCAATGGGGTTGGCTCAGATGAATTATTTCGTAATTGACTGTCCTTGTTTTCACCGAAACACTGGAGAGACTTTGAGTAGGACCGGGTGCACACCAAATTTGCTTTCCTGAGGAAGACTACAAAGAGCTAGCTCACAGTCCATCTGGTCACAGATACGTGGAGGATCTGGACTAAAGGGTCATGCATGTGAATTTCTCTTCAGTCAATTAAAAAATTGTCAAGGAATGTCTTCACAGCAATTTGATGATGTGTGTTTTTCCATAGATCTCTCTCAGGGCGAATTGTCGGAGGAGTCTGGTGGTTCTTCACTCTCATCATTATCTCTTCCTACACTGCTAATCTTGCTGCCTTCCTTACGGTGGAAAGGATGGTTTCTCCCATAGAGAGCGCGGAGGACCTGGCTAAACAAACCGAAATAGCATATGGCACTTTGGATTCAGGCTCAACCAAAGAGTTCTTTAGAGTAAGTCTGTTAAATCTCCATTAGAGCTTTTCTAAACTGTAACTGCCTAATGTATGGGTTTGAGTCCTTTTTTTTTACCCAGCTGTGATAGCTGTTCTGGTAAAAGCTGCTTTGTGCAATCAGGACAGGCCTGGGTGAAGATTTTAAATATCAAAAGGCATTTATCAAAAATGGGTGGTTCTGTTCAACATGAAACATCTCAAGATGGGAAAACCTGACCTCTGCTATCATGGGAAGGGTTTTTTAAATACCAGTTTCATAAGCTCTGTCTGATGAGCAGTATTGCAGTCATTTTCACAATATTGAGCAAGGAAAACTCTTGCAGGAGTGATGCTCTTGACCTACTTGCTCTGTTTGCCCAGCTGGCAGCCATTAGCACCATCCGCTGTCGATGCTCACTTGCCAGAATGAGAAGGGGGACAGGAGGCACGTGTTGCTGTTCATTTCTGTATGTGCATGGATTGCTGCAGTTGCTGTTGCTCTGTCTTCACTGTATGGCAGGGGCCAGTGTCAGGGGTGAAACTTTTGTACCCCAGAACAGTGGTGTGTGTTCACCTTGGTTAGGGAAATGCTGGGTTTGCAATATTTGGGGGTAGGGGGGAGTACACACTTTTATTTAAGGTCATCCTTTCTTTCTTCACTTGCCAAACCACAAGCTGAACTGCAGAGCGCTTGGTGAGTCATTAAATACTCCAAATACAACCTCAGACCACTTTTACCTAGCTAAAAAGGCTGTGACCTGAAAAGCTCTTATTTCTTGCCTTTCTAAGGGCAAACTGAGATGCTCAGCACTTTCAGGGAGCTCTTGGTTCTCTCTCAGCAGTGCCAATCAGATGCCATTCAAACCAACATTTTTTTTGTATAGAAAAGTGGTCAGTGCTGCAGGACTAATCATTGCCTGTCACAGATACTGCCTGGGTGCAAGTGTGAGGGAGGGGGGACACAAAAACCCTTGCTGGTGTCGGCTGATTCGGTACTGAGGGCTCCTTGGATAAATACTGAGTGAGAGATCCTTGAATTTACTTAAAATTTCAGTACATGAAATTCATACACACAGATACATGTGTGTATGAGTCTGATGTAAAGGTAGAAGTGAATCAAAGGTATTCTATAATGCTTTTGTACTCTGACTTCTTGTAAAAACAGATACTCGGTAATTCTTAATTAACTGTGGTAGCTGGTGTGTTGCAAAGGCTCCTGTTTATATTAAAATGCTGTCAGATAAACACTGACCTTGTAAGGGTGAGAGGAGTGTGTAAAAATTTGCATTCTGTTTAATTATCAGCCTGAGGCAGTGCTATTTGCACCACAAAAAAAGAGTGGAGTAGCCCTGTCAGAAGAGGTAGCACAGCTTGATTAGAAACACTGATGCTGTGTACAGTCACTGTACTGTTCTTAGGGGTAAAAAATCTTATTTTGAATATCTTGTTACCATTAATACAGAAAGAGGGATTGTGTGGGGGTGTATCTTCATTTCCTTAATGGTTTGACATAACAAGGAAATCCCTTCTCACCCAGAGATCAAAGGAATGAGTGTTTCATGTGAAAGGATACAAAGTCTAGTAAATGCATGAATACTTTGTTGTGCTGTTAATAGTCTTGAGATGAGCTGTGACTCTCTCTTGGTGCTGGAGAAAGCAGGGCTGTAAATGAGGAGGATCTGTCAGGAGCTGGCAGCTCCATCAGGCAGGGAGAGGAGGCAGATGAGGAAGGAGGAGAGCGGAGCCCAGCAGTGGTGGAGCGGGACGTAATGCCTGCTCTGGGTGATGAGCCAAGGGGGAAGGAGAATGGGCCCTAAGTGGTATTTTCTCTCCTCAGTATTCTCAAGACACACAACATCATTTCAGTTGTATTAACTTTTGCAGAGTAATTAATTTGAATAGAGTGATGCAGCCATGAAACTGTTGTAATTAGAGTCTTCTTCAGTTGATTTGAGAAGGGCAAAAGCTTTGCCTTAGATTAAATGTGTATGTTCACATAAATACTTTGTTGTACAGTCTTTATTAACTCCTTAGTAAGATGGTAATGACGGCTGAAACTTGAAATAACTCTTGGAGGACACTTGGTTTCTGAGGCCCTGCTGCACAGACTATGCCTGCTCTGTGGTTTGGGATACTTCTCTCCCTGTAAGCTCTTGTCTCACTGCTAGTGCATCAGTGGGAGTGATAGTGGTCTGAGTCAAAACCGTGAGTTCTCCTTGGTACAGTGTGATGCTTATTCTCTCTGTGAAGGGAATATCCTCTTCAACCCATTCCCCACCAGCATTTAACCAGTTTAAGTAACAGTTGGCTGAGTGGATCAGGATCATCTCCCTGTGAGAAAGGAAGCTTCTAACTGACGGGATGGCTACCTGAGCAAGTTAGTGCAATCTTTACTTCTACCAGTTGCCCATGCCACTGGCTGTGGCATGTGAGAAGGAGACCTTCCCAAGAGATGCAAGAGCACATGTGTAGAGGTCAGCATATGTGTAGAGGCTTTGTAGCTGGGGCATGACTTCACACAGGAGGCACAGGACAGCCTCTCCAAGATCCCATAAAGAACCTTGTATGGACATTTCCTAGAGCTGTTAAGCTAAAATGTTTCTCAAAGATATTAGTCAGATAGTGATCTTAATGGCTGCTGTTGGTCAGTGAAAGGCACTAGACTGACAACAGCAAAGAATTAATTGCCCACTAAGGCATCATAGAGGGACTACATGTAAATGAGCTCCAAATACCCACCATCTTGTCTGTGTGCTACAAGGAGCTCCTTGAGAGCCTTCAGTCCATGGCTCCTTTCTGCCAACCCCATTTACAGCCAGGATTGCTTCTGAAGGTTTCTTTTACAGCGTGGATACCTATCTGCTAGGAACTGGACTGATACCAGCACCTCATTTCAGATGCACAGATGGTGATGACTTTCAGCCACTTCAGACCTGGGCAGACTCCAGCTAGTGACCTATTTTATACTCTTGGATGTTTCCCTAAACATCACAGTGTCTCCCAGATAGAGGCTATCCCAGCTATGTCAGTAACCTAGATACACCATTGCAGTTTCAAGTGTGCACAATGCCCGTGGTCAGTGTGACATTGTTCTCACAACAAGAGAGCCTATTCTTTATAGATGTTTCACAACAGGCATTATTCACACTTCTCACTTGTTGGTGTCTCTGCATCAGGGCATTTGTCTAATGTATATCTAAGAACCATATGAGCCTTCCTCTATTTTCATGGTGCTTGCTTGTTTCTGCTCAGAAACATTTTGCATTTTTCACTAATGAGCTTATAAAGGCATTTAAATGGCAATCAATACATTACATCAGTTCCCTTCTGGCTTACAAAGGGCACTCATCCATATTGAAAAGGAAAAGGAAGAACCTCTTCTTAGATATTTATTATCATATAGTCTCAGATTAAAGACTCAAAAATACCTTTCTCTTTCTTGAAAACTGGCAGAGGCCTGTACTAGAAAGCAATTTCAAATCACTAAGCTACTACTTGTGAGGGTGTATCTGTTAGAATTAACATCTTCTAATACATTCAGTTAAAGCTTCAGCATATCTGAGTAGCTCATCAAATCAATATAACACCATTTAATCCAAATTCAGCACTAAGTATAATAGCACAGTCTAATACATTTTACACCTCCAATATGCATATATTCAAAAGGCATGACCTTTACAACCAATTAGTAATTCTTATGTAAACTTGGCTGTATTTAAAACTTCAGTAGAAGCAGAACATGTTTCTAGACGCATAGAAATATAAATTGCTCTTGAATTTGTGATGGTCTCTTTCAGTTGATAGCAGGTATCTGTGTTAAGAGGCTTCTGTAAAGTAACTTTCAAAGTGTGTGTTTGATCATTGACAAACACAGCTGACCTGCTAGTGCACTCTACTGAAAACCTGATATTTCAGAAGGTGTCCTCAAAATAGATCTGACGTTGCAAGGCTTTAGAGGTTGAAATATTGAGGCAGGTAACATAACAAGATTTTGCATTAGGTCCTTCTCTCTTTTGTGAAAAATTGAAGGCGACTCCTGTCACACCATTACCAATGTAGCTAATCACTGTTAGCTAAAACTAAGGAAAAAGGAGGCCTCAAAGGCCTGGTCTTATTGTATCGTACAACTTTGTATTTTTGTCAGCAATAGTTTCAAGGATATCCTTGACAAAATGACCCTGCTATCCTGCGGCTCCCACGTGCCTCAGATGAAAGGACTTGCTGCTCTGAAGTCAGCTCCTATTTTTTTCTCCTGGAAATGGTATTAATTGCCAGGTTAGTTAAAAGTTTCAGTAGAAAGGCCAAAGATCCTTCGGACGTGATGGTTCGTGCTCTTACAGTTGATTACTCCTACTTGGCACTGTTGTTCATAAGTATTGGACAGAGAGTTTGACACTGACATTGCTTCTGCTGTTGGTACAGACTTTAGGCTCAGTGCCTGGAGGTGTTAAAACAGGCTGACAGCCTTCAAGCATAGATATTATTTTTAGGATTTTTTTGCACCACGGTATGAAATTCACAGCTAAGGCTAAAGTCTTAGGACACATGGGAGTTAGAGCTAACTTGAGGACACCAAGGAGTCTGCACATGCTTTCCTTGTGCCTTCTGTGTGAAAGCTTCACTTCTTGTAGCACTTGAATAGTCTACCCAAGCGTTTTGCCCTTAATGAATGTTTTGTGAGAAGGCGATACTGTTCTTTTATGCCTTTGAGGACACATTCAGCACTTGAAATTCCTCTTCATCAGTTTTCTCAAAAAGTGGTTCTTTCCAAGCCAGGTTCAGATGTGAGGACTTTCTGGACTTTGTGTATACATAAAACATGATCTATTACTACAATTTTTAGGATGCAGAAAGTCATGCTAGGGACAGTCTGTAAGATGTCCTCCTTTTTCTATCTTCTTAGTTTCACCAAGTCTGGATAGATCAGCAAGAGCAGACAGAAAAGCATGAGATGCCCTGGCAATAGGCTTTGCATTTCTGTCTGCAGCTCTGGTTGCCTATACTGTGCTCTGATGTGAA